GAGATGAACTGGCTCTCTCCACTTAGCATCGCAGCAGTTATGTTTGAGGCTTTCGCTGAGGGCAAACAATTACTGGAAAAATTGCAAGATCAAGATCTCAAGCATCTCACGACATTGCTCTAATACACCAGATACCAGAGAGAAAACACAACACAGTAGGGGATTTTTGACTTGAATTTATGTGGCAGGGAAGTTTGTCAAATACTGCTATGATTTACAGCCGAAGCATAACTCTAAACTCTAAACATGAAACTGATCTTTTAGTGAAAACGCTGCAGCTTTTGCGGTGTCTTGATTGAAGTATTAAAACCGATTTTGGTAACGTTATCTTTTGTACTACTGAGGTCTGTACAAAAACCACTGCAAGGGGTTACAGAATTATTTTTGCTGCCCTAAGCCCAGATAATTAAATGGGTTCAGTTAGATGGGGCATTTGTCTAACTAAAACTAAATTATATGCAAAAGTTACTCTTTTGCACAACAAGGAAGATATTAATCTGTGATTTTTGTTTACTTTTACGCCAAAATCAATTCACAAGCTGATCACTGATTACGATGGGCATCTCTCTCTTTGTGATTGCCATACTGATAAGGAAGATGAATTAAAAAATGCATGGAATGGATGGAAAGACTGAAATTTATAGTTATAAAACAATCTTAAAGGCACACTACGTACAATGTAGGCTGATAATGCCATATTATGAAACATTTCAGGCAAACCAATAGCTTTTTCATTGATATAGACAGGTTAGGCAGGTAGCAGAGTAAACAGACTCATAGTGCACACACATACACACATACATACATACATACATACATACATGCATACATTTTGCAGTGAATATTTTTTACTTTTACGGTTTAAGACCTGCTGAAATGGATGAGATCTTTTGAGTTAACATCCCACCCAACTGAGCAAACCAAACACACATAGACACTAAATGGCTAGAAAAATTAAGAAATCAGTTGAATCATTTAAATCTGCATTAACAAAATCATTACATTTCATCTTTTAATTTCCTCTCTACAAAATACTTTTACTTTCTACTCTTTAAGTACATTTTTAAGCAGGTACTTTAATACTTTTTTTTTTCCCCCCAGCATCTGCACTTTTATTTAACACTTATTTTTAGTAGCAAAATTCAGTACTTCATCCACCACTGTGTATTGGTTGTAAAATATGTACATCATCCCAGCTTTGTTACACAAACTGCAGAACAACATAAAACCTCTGTAGTCTCAGTATATAATGGCCTTCTCTGTAGAAACCAACAGTTAATCAGAGCCCTGTACATTCCTGATGGTGACACACTGGTCGTACCCCGAGGTCTGACCCTACCTGAGCTCGTCTGTCTCAACAACACAATCACAGAGGAATGAGCGCCAATAACCTTGTATTACTGCCTTTATTCCTCCAAGATCCAGCCCCCACACTCATAGTTCACATCAGTAAGAGTGGAAAAGAACAATAAAATCTCCGGATATGAAAGAGTCCCGAGGCAGCGATGCATAGAGAAGCCTCCTCCTTTAAGTGTGTGCTGGTAGACTTTAAAGGAAGACAGCCAAAATGAAAATATAGACCTATAAATCTTTGCACCTATGTTAACAAGGAATTTTGATTGAGCGTCTGATGTAAAGCCCCGGGCAGACTTCTACTTGTACAAACTTTTTCAAGACTTGTTTAGCAATAGCCAGTGGTGCAAAGAGAACAGCAACTTTGTACTAAAGAGAAAGTACAGTTATACGGCAAAAAATTTACTCAATTACAAGTATAAGTACTACTGCCAAAATTATACTTAAGTAAAAGTATGCATGAAAAATACTAGTCAATACTCAACACTAGTTACATTTTAACAGAATTTTAATAGCGTTTTTTGAGCTCTTGAGTGTATTTGTCAATATAGAAAAGAGCAGAGACAGCTGTGCATTGGACAAATTATGAATAGTGTTGTACCCATTTTAAATATAGCTAATTACAATTGCATGGCTCGAAATATACAAGTCCATGTTTAAAAAGTCCTGAAAATACTCAACAATTACACATAAAAATATCTACTTAATTATATGAAGTTGAGTGTTTGTAATTAGTTACTTTTCACTCTTGGTAGATCTATGATAATGCACAGATCCCACATTGGTAAGCTGAGGTACTTTGTGTTTTTTTGTAAGGAATGCAAGGCTGTTTTTGTAACTCCATTTGTTGCACACTCCCCACTGGATCAACCATTAATCAAGTCCAAGAAGCTCCAGTTCAGAGGTCGTAAAACACCATCATTCAAAATGCTATCAAGATATTTTCCCATGTGCTTTTTCTGTCATTTTTTTCCAAATGAGGAGCGAAGTTGGCTACAAAAACAGATGGATTTTTTAGTCTTGAGTTTTAGATCAGGCCTGCTCTGACAGATACTCTGCAATTTCTCAGCCAGTGTGAGTTTATTTTTAGGCACATAAGCTAAGAAAACTGCGTGGACTTGAAGTGTACTTTTGACGTTCCCTTCTATAATGGTTGTTAAATTGTTTCATCATTTATTCTCAATGAATATTGTTGTTTTGACTCAGGAAGACCCTATAGGATAGACCCATCCTGGTACAGAGACACCTGTTGTTTGAATGTGAGGGTTTGTGTTAAGACTTGAACCATGACTGAGGTTGTTTTTGCAGCGGGCAGCAGCACATTGTTTCTGTCAGTGCTGTTGAACCTTGAAACTCAGATCAGATCACTTGCTGTTTTCATCTATACACTTCAGTAGTTTGTTAAACTTCCTGTCTAACATTTTATGTGAGTTTGAGATTTTTTCAGTCAAGTTGGTTTCGATAGTGTGTAAAATCAAATCAAATGGTGATCTCGTTTGTGTGACAATATGCTATTTGGTGAAATTGTCATATCACATTAAGTGCTTCTCTGTTTTATGCTTAACTCTGTGCTCAAACACAGACACTTTTCCCACTCATCCTTCTATTCATCAGCATCTGAAGTGATTGACCAATTATAGTGAAGTGTGAACTCACAGTTGAAGAGGAATCTATTTATTTCCTAAAAGGCAATATTGTTAAAACACTAAGTGTAGCAGTTGAATTGTGGTAAAATTAAAATCTTAACAAAATGCCTGTGATGTTGCATCTCAGTCTTCTGAAAGCACTGATAGTCACACTGTTCGTGTAGGATTGTAGAATGTCTGTTAGTTTTTTTTTCTCCTGGGCAGAAATGGTAAGGTGTTGAAGTGGTCATGGCCAGTGCTCATGTATTGGAATTTGACTCCTGGTATGAGTGACCTCTATTTCATGGCAGCCTCCTTTGGATCTGTGTTCTTGTTGTATTGTTCTTCTCTACACATTCTGGACACACCAGACAATCAAAAACATTTTTTCAGGAACCGCAAGATTCATAGAGCTCAATGAGTATAATAAAACTGCTTGAATAATAATATTTTAAAATTATACAATATGAAAAAGTATTAAAGAGACCACAGTAATCATGAATATATACTATTCAGAGATTTTTCACACTGAAGCTGTGCACTAAAAGTACAAGTGCGTGAGTGTGCATGTGATCCTCTCTGTTTCGTGGCAGTGAGGAAGTGACACAGCTGCTAAGGTCAGCGGGATTCAGAGCGACCGCGAGAGAACGGGTCGTTGTCATGACGCCAGCGCTCAAAGCATCTAGGACAGAGGAAGAACTGAGCCAGAATCACCTCATACTGGTCCATACACAGGACATGACACCTGACAGTGGACTAAAACTCACCCGGTGCTCTTTTTTACCAAGTTGGACTTTTTGTTGGTGAAACGCACAAATCACACCACATGACCACACTCAAGTGACACCACCAACGCAGCTTCCCACTCTCCATTACATTCATAACAGCATTTATAATCATCTACATGACAATCTGTGTAGCTCTATAGTGCGACTCAGGGGTGACAGGGGTTAGTGCTGAAGGGAAGCAATGCATGCTGGGATTGCGGCCTGCTGAGAGAGTGGCATTCTGGGAGGCAGTGTCCTGTGGGCAGGGCCTCTAGGGGGATGCAGTATGGTTAATAGGCCTTTCATGGTCAGCCTACAAAGCCTTTTGTCCTGGACTAATTCATCCTACCCAGCATGGAGAGAGCAGAGGGGGAGGGGTGTTGTGGAGGGGTTAGGGAGTCCCCAGTTTCTCTGCTCTAGTGAAGTGTAGGGTGGCACCAGTGTTAGGGAGCCACATCTTAACACTGCTCCAATTGGCAGAGGTGCTGGCAAACTGAACCACAACACTGGAAAACACCCAACTGTAATCAAGAGGCATCCTGCTGCGCATAGAGTACATGTGACGTGTTCTGTGTGGGAGCCAGGTATGTGATTGTGGCTGGGAAAAGCAATTAGGAGTGAATACTGAGCCTGATGTGAACAAGTGCAACAGGTGGGATGGAATAGTGAGGCTGTCTCTGTAAGCCCTCAGGTGCACTGCATCATGGGAGTTCTGGCTCCAGAGATGTTGCCTGTTCCCACCAACTGAACCCCCTATCAGAGCCTGTGTTCTCTCACTATAATCAGTTATTAATGGAGTGGACAGAAATGACCCCCCCTTACATTCAGACTGTGCTGATTGAAGTGGAGAACAAGACTCCTGAGGGCACTGTGATCATTGTGGTATGACACTGTGTGTGTGTCCATAGTATGTGTGTTTGTGTGTGTGTGTGCGTGTGTGCGTGTGTGCGCGTGCGTGCGTGTGTGTGTGCTGCCCCGTCCCGACTGGGCCTGTCCCGTCCGCAAAAACACAACACACCGCAGTTCACAGCTGCACTCGACCTGCAGGCTTCAATGACCGGGGGTCAGTACAAACTTTGTGGGGACCAACCCATATCAAATCAAGGAGAACCGACGAGGGGGAGGGGCGAGTTTACCACATCCTAGATCTGTACTTGTGTGTCAGTTTTTGGGGTGTTGTAGTTATTGCGCGTAAATGCGTAATAGTTGAAGGTCTGCTTGACGCACTGTCATAGGAAAGTGTTGAGAGGCTGTGAGAAGGGGTCTGGAGAAACTGCAGCGCTCTACCCTTCTCTGGGATTTTGGGAGCCAGTCCCTATTGTTCAGATCCCTCCTCCTGCTTGGGAAGTGGGAGGACCCGCAAAGGCGTCGCAAAAGGGAGAATTGTTTGAGAGCTCAGTCATCCAAAAACGGCCTTTCAATGTGAGAACTTGGGGAGCCGAAGAAAATGTCGGTGGCATCGCAGTAAATTACTAAAGCAGCAACGCTTTAGATGGTAAAAAGAAGCAAACTAGTCTTACTTTGGGAACTAAACGCGACGAAAGACACTCGGAGTGAAGGGAAAATCGAGGTGTGTGCACCAAGTAGAACGGTTTTGGTAAGTTTTCTGCCTTCATGCGGTCCATGTTTTTGTGGGGTTACGCTACTTATAACTGTGTAATGCTAGTTTTTGAACGTTTGCAAGTTTTCCAACTCAATCCCTTAATTTCTGAGAGCAAAATCTGCAATATGTGAATTAGTAAAGCGGCAACCTGATGATTTTTGCGTTAAACCTCGTATTTGTCAGCGCTATCAATTTAGATAGCAACAGTTGTTTTTCCTTTTTTTCCTCTTTTTTTTATCAAACTGGTGGACAAAGCTTTTGGATTTCCGCGTCTTTGTAACGTGGTGTGATTATTTATGTCGCTGCTTTGGTTTTGTGAGCACATTTTGCTACTTTTTTTGCGGACAACTTGGCGTAGGGCTTAGCTTGTTGTTGATTGGGTGCGCATCGCATTCATAGTTTTCCAAGTTTTTCTTTAACTTCAGTCGTGATTTTCACAATATGACATCGGCATACACGGTTGAAAGTGCTGTTAGTTGTCAAAAGTGTTGAACGTAGGTGCTGAAATGTTTTTTGGGACATCTTTTAGAGTTGCATCTTGCAGGCCGCAGCCTATGGTGACTGCCATAGGTTAACAGAAAACAGACATGGGGGGCTCTGCCAGATTTACCTCCGATGTTATCACTGGCATCTGTGGAGCTGCAGGACCACTTATGAGGGTTACATACAAATTCATTTTGTGAGTTAGAGAGTGGGGGTTCAACATATCTTTATTCATTATTAGTTTGAATTATGATTAAGTGCTGACAGTAAAATACAATTAAAATCAGATTGCCTAATCAGAAGTCTATGCACTTTGCACAGACTTCATTTCATTAAATGTTATAAGTGTATGATAACATTTAAATTCACAGTAGATTTGTTCCAGCTAACCTAATTACTGCCTCTCTATAAGTTGACAGGTCTTCTGGCATCTGCCCCCAGTCCAAGCTCTCCTCATATCACCCTGTGTTCACTTCACTGTGATTTAATGAGAAAATGTTTGTCTTAATCCTCTGAGCTGCTAATGAGTGTTGGCCAGAGTGTCAGTCACTGCAGGGGCCCAGGTTGAAAGACACAAGAGGGGGACACTTCCATACGGGACGGGCCTGTAGAAACAGCCGCAGGGGCTCAAGTTACCAACCCCAGGTGCCGTTGTGTTATTTGGATTGCATTTAGCCTGTAATGTCTTGTATGGACAGAACCAGTCCATTTCAATGACTGACATGCCATTGGACAAGAGTGCTTGATTGTTGGGCTGAATCAGTGTCACTTGGATCAAAAGTCGAAATGAATGGCCCGGCCTCCTCCAATTAGGAGCTCAGCTTATAAGAGAATTAATTGGTCTCAGTACAAAAAAGAAGGAGAATGCTCTTGTTGTCTAGTGGTAGGGGCAGCATGTTGTTGTTGATCATCTTTGGCAGTCGGGTGGATCAAAGTTGAACTAATTGATTGCAGTTTGATTATCTGGCGATTTCTCACACTGCTCGAGCTTTTATGGGTGCTTATTAGAGAGACTGGAAAAACATATTTAATGGAACAGAAGAGGATTGCACGCTACAAACTACTTCACAACATGACAGCAGAGGAAAGAGTTAGAAATACATGTATGCATATGAACACCCTGATAATAAAAGCCTTTCTTGTTATGTTTGTAAATCAAATATACGTTATTAATTATTGTGTGTATACCACAATCCAAGTTGAGTTTTTGGTCTTATAAAGAGCACACTTGTGTTACAGTGACATGCTCTGTCAGCTGTAGTTTGATCTTTTAGTTTCAGTCCACAATATTCTTAGTGTGATTTGAAATTATGCTAGATTGAGTTGGGTTCTTGGCCAAAACAGACTTGTAGCTTAACAACATGTTTTCAGTTTTCCACTACTCCACCAATGGCCTGCGGTTATGTTTGGGCCTATAGGAGCTAAGGATGCTGTTATTTAGCTTTTACTGAAAAATTGCTGTGGATTTAGGTTTACTGCCAACAGCAATACAGCACCTCCGTCATTTCTTCATTGAAATGTTTCTCTGACGTCTTGACGATGGCTGTCAGGATGCTATAGGAATAGGATTAAACTTGTTTGTCTCACGCATGCTATGTTTTTACACATAGTTGTAAATCAAAGATGGATTTTAGTATGTGCTTTACAAACTGTTATTATGCACTGTCACTCCAGTTTGAATCTTGTGTTTGGGAGTGCAAGTTCCTAAGTTTTGACTGCATTGTTGGAAGGCTGTATTGTTATTACAGAGGGTGTAACATTGGCGTTAATTGACAAAGCAGAAAAAATCCTTCCTGAGGGCACACTTTCATCTCTCTGACAGTGGGTACACTCATGCAGTCATAACAGCCCGCAGGCAGAATCTGTGTGCTGAGGTTTTTGTGTGAGTGCGGAGGTGAAAGCTTCTGTCCTAAAGTGGATTTGGTGTTTGCATAGGAATGTGTTGCTTGTTACTTGTTTTCACCTTGGCCGCTTTGGGAGAAAATGGACAGGTTAATTTAATAAAGTATCAAGGAACACTTTCAGGACCAAATAAGGCAGCCAATTCCAGAACATTATTGGCCTGTTGACATACGGTGCATTAGTCCGTCAGCGCTGACAGATTGGGGCTTGTGTTCATTCGGGTTCCTTGCCTCCAGTAGAGCTTCTGTGTCCAGTTGGACCTGGCTAACCACAAAGGGACACCTGGACCGGCAGGTGGCCCCTCTCCAGACTCCTCCCCTGGGGCTGCATACCTCCACTGTCCCTGATCCTCCCTGTCAGCTTTGGACCGCAGAGAAAGCCAAGAATGCGAGGTGAAAAAGGGGAAAGTTCTGACAGTGAGCTGGAGAGGCTAATTAAACTGGATAGGTCCAAACGGAGTCAGATTATCAAGGCATAGACACAAAACAGATCTGACAAAGGGAAAGACACACTGCTTGTGATTGTCATGAGTCAAGAGTAAGTTTAATCATGCAAAGTTACTTTATCAGGTTTATTAATACTGCTCTGTCTGTTCATGGATTTCGACCTCTTATTTATAGGTGATCTTATTAGGGCATTCAAAATATATAAAAACTAGTTTTGAATTTGTAATTATAATGGAAACAGTGCTAACTTCCCATCACTTTCCCATGGATATTATTTGCCTCATAAAAACATAGTTCCCAGTGTCTGACTCAACAAGCTAATATGGATTACCTAAGCTCTTTAGATGAAGTCAAGTTGATTAGTTCTACCACTTAAAGTATAAGTTAAGCTCCTTCTGATTGGATAATGCAGGTCTTATGCAGCCACACTCCTTCCTTTCAGACACACTCGCAAACACAAACACACACGTTGTGTTGCCAGCTCTAGTACGTCTTGTGCGCGTGTTGTTAGATCATTGATCAACTCCAGACCAGGATAAGAGGGTGAGTGTGTGTATAGCAGACAAATAGTCCTGTGTGCAAAGCAGATATTTGGACAAAGATTAGGGGGTGTTATTACGAGCCAAAAGCAACCCAGACGCTCTTAATAGATCATTTACACACACTTGCAAGATTGAACTATTGACAAGGGGCTGTTCAATGTAGTCCCTCTGTTTATGCAGTTTTTCTTAGTTGGAAATTTCAAAAACAAATTTAGGACAACATTGGGCGAAGAAGTTCACTACTCAATTTACATGTTAATCTGATGCAGTTATCAAAATGCATGCAAAAGGTGTGGAAAAGGAAGAACAATCAGCAACTGGTTTGAAATTCAAAAAAATTTAAGTGAATCTGTTTACGTATCGCACTTGGTTTCAGCTAGAAAGTTTTTTGGAAGAACTATGTGAAGTTTATCCTTGGCATTGTTAAATCCCACCAATGTTTTGAATTAAAAACAAAAGCTCAGCAGCGCTATTGAAAATGTCAAGTTTGTCTTTTAAAGCTTTTACTGATTTAAAGCATGGCCCCAGAGAGCGAAAACTCATCATCGAAAAATGTGGAACTGGCAGGAGAAGACATGATTCAACAGAATAAATCACTGGGCACCAGATTAGTTAGTTACTGGGCCCCTGGGGTTATCGGATCTGGAATTTTCCATTGAAGGTGCAACTCTTCTTTCTCTCTCTCCATTCCCATAAAGCAACGAGTATTGTAATGCTTTTATTTACTGATATTTTGTCTGAGTTTTCTCCCCAGGACAGGGCACATCCTCTGACTGACAGGACAAATGGCAGGGCCTGGTTTACGCGTCTCTGCCTCTCGCACACACACACTAATCCAGTCTCTGAAACTGAGAGCTCTCTTTGAAACCAGCCTTCTTCCAGCTGTTTCTCCTCTTAAGAAACTCCTTCAGCCCTTTCACTTTATAACCACGGCCTGTTGCTCCACACTCCGTATATACGATTAGCCTAACTTTTCTTATCTGTTTTTCCAATAACTCTTTACTGCATTTCTCCATTCTCTCATTTCTGCCTTATCTCAGCGTTCCCCATGCTTTTCTGGTGTCTGTTTTTCATATGATATTTCACTTTCCTTCCTTCCTTCATCCCCCACTGAGAACTGTAGAGGCAGGCACCGTTTTTCTTTCTCTCTCTCCTGGTTCCTGCTGAATAATGGGGAGAAATTGCTCTTGATTTATAATTGGTTCCATTCAATCTGATGCATGAGCTGCCAAAAGAGTTAGGGGCCCCATTTCACCCCCGTTGCACCCCCCTCCTCACCCCTATGATTCCAAAAAGAACACACAAGCTCACTATATGTACAGCTATGAAAGTGTACAGCATTGTGGCGAGTTCATCTCAGAGCTGGGGATAATAAGTGGTAGCCAGTTTGCGAGTGGAAAAACTTCCCGGGGTCTGCGTATTTCGTTGTCTTTGTGAGTATACTTTTACCATATAATCGACTTGTGTGATTGCTTGCTTATGTGTTGTCCAATGTGTGAGTTGTTGTGTGCGTCGCTGGGAGAAACAACAGAGGCAAGGGAAGAATGGTTGTGGTTAAATGAAATATGGTGCTGCCTGGGTTTGCGAGGAGCACTGTGAAATCTGGTGTATTAGTAAGTGG